ACCACCCACTGTTGAAGTGATAGACTAGAGGGAAGAGAGCTAGTCAACACCATCCACTGTTGAAGTGATAGACTAGAGGGAAGAGAGCTAGTCAATGCCACCCACTTGCACTACCTTTTACTAAGGAAAAGTGGGGTTGACCGTCACGTTATATCATCCCCACAATTAACAGAGCAACCATGTTCAGTGATGGGTATTGAACCTGTAACCCTCAGATTGCAAGTCAAGAACCTTAACCACCAGGCCATGCTAGGCCTATTCAAATCTAACACTAAAGGCTTGTAGTAAAACTCAAAATGACTGTGTTGAATACCAATATGGCTTGGTTAGTCTTCTTAATATTAGGTTTACGTGAATAGGATCGATTACTATTTAATACCAGATAAAATATAAAAAAAATACTCCCCAGGGGAAATGATTTTCAAAAATGTACCAACAACCAAGTTATTGTTTTATTTATTTTTTTATTACTTCCCAGGTTACTTGGCAACCTCTTCCCAGCTTATCTGTGAGCCATTTGACCACAAAAAATGTTTACTGTGTAGATCAATCCTTATTCCGGTCCTTTGTATTTGAAAACAGGGGGTGAGTGAAGTTTCACTCTCCTGAGACACCCTTAAAAGTGTGATTACACCCCTTTTAAACTTTATCCTTCCCAAGACACTTTACAGATGTGGTAAATCTTAGGTTACATTACTGCTCATTGTTTTAGTAATTGAAAAACGTACTTAATTTTAACACATAAATGTATCAGTCTGATTAATAAACAGATTAGAAAACAGTTATTCCTGAAAACCCGTAAGTCTTGGATCAAAATTAGGTCCACCCCTGCTTCAAAAAATGAAGTAGTCATGCATCACCCATTATTTATGTTATACAACAATATTGTATAAACTAATTAATGTTATCTTCTTTACTTTTAATATATCATAATTTCTATATTTTACTAAGTAACCTGATCAATGAATGAAAATAACAAACCTGGGTGATAAAAACAAATACGTAGAAAAACTGTGACAGGAAAGATTCACAGTAAATTTAAATGATGAGTCAGGTAAGGGACAAACTTAGATCCTAAGACTTGTGAAGGACATACTTAGTAGGTGATAGGACTAATTCAATATAAGTATAGCTGATGAGGCCAGTAAATTAATGCATTTAAAAAAATTAAGTTGATCCTTTTGCTAAAGATATGCAGCTATATAAATTGGCACAAATATGTGTTGATAAAATTTGTATCGATTTCATTGTTTCTCCACAAATTTCATCAAATTAACTTTTAAACTCACTTTTTTTTTGCATACTAGTTTTAGAAGTGCTGCTGTTAGAGACACGGGCTATTTAGCAGTGTCATAATGAATTAAAAAATCCAACATTCGTGGTGGGCAAATACAACCTATCTCTACCACACAGTCCCAAGATAGCTAATTTTGATGTCAGAAAAAATCTGTCTTTGTCACTGCTTTAGACCTGCAAGAAGGTATCTCTGTACCAAATCCCATATAATTGATTGACATACACATGTATAATTCAGAAAAAAAAACAAGATTGTGCTTTCCTTCCTGAAAAATTGAGCAAAAGACAAAAATTACCAAATTGTCTATATCTCTGTTTGGAACCTGTAAAAAGTATATTTGTGTCAAATCTCATGTAAATTGGCCAAAAATATGGCAAGTAATTGTACTTTGTGTGGCATCTTGAACACCCTATAATTACTAAAAATGGGCAAGTCCACCAAAATACAGCCAAGTCCCAAGAATGATGCTTTTGTCTGAGCTCTGCCCCCCCCCCCAAATGACTAAAAATTGGCAGATCCAGTGTGTTGGGTACATGAATTTTTCATCTTGAATGCTGTAAATATAACTGCACAAGAGCCCAAGATATAGTTTTTGGTTGTTTGATCTTTGGCCCCACAAAATCCTTAAAAAGGCCAAAATAAAAAAATGAAAAAGTCATCTGGTGGTATTGGACCAAGGCATAAATAACCCTACCAAGTCTCAAGACAATCTGCCAAGAAATAAAGGAATGACAGTCGATTGAAAAGTGTTTGGAAGAAGATAAGTTTGTTTGTTTGTAATTAAGCACAAAGCTACACAATGGGCTATCTGTGCTCTGCCCACCACGGGTATCGAAACCCGGATTCTAGCGTTGTATGTCCGCAGACATACTGCTGTGCCACTGGGGGGCTACCAAGATGTGTTCGCTACCTTGACAGACCTAAAATACATCATACGACACTGGTGGAAGTCAGACGTTTGTTTGTTTGTAATTAAGCACAAAGCTACACAATGGGCTATCTGTGCTCTGCCCACCACGGGTATCGAAACCCGGATTCTAGCGTTGTATGTCCGCAGACATACTGCTGTGCCACTAGGGGGTTTCTAAGAAAATTGTTTCGGTATAAACGTACTCTATTTCTTTATGAGACTTTAGTTTGATAAAATTTGCATAACGAATCTTCCAAAAATAATTCGTTCAAAAAGAAAATCTGAGTCATTATTCAACTAAATTTAAAGTTCAAAGTTTACTTTGCCTTCGACGTATATTTAATTAATCCTGCAAAAAAAGAAAAAAAAAGCTCATTTAAATAAGCTGTTTTCAAAACCATTTATAAGTAGTATGTCCTCAAAGAATAACTAAAAAAGTCAAAATATATCAAAATACTACCTATCCTTCTGATGACACTATAAGTTTGCGATATCTCTTTGTTCGCGTAAACCTATACCACACTATATTTCCTGTTCTCTAATTAACACTTGAAACATATATATATTCGGCTTTGTTTTACTTGGTAAACTGAGATACACGTTCAGTATTTAAGACTTACACGTCTTTTACTATAGAACCGGGACTTATTGCATTCTTGATGTGAAAAGAGAATACATATTTATTTTTTTTAGTAGAAATTTCTTTTGTCTAAAACTTCTATGTAAAGGATTATCGTAAAATTATTTTATCGTCCAAGAATAAAAAAAAACTATTCAACAGAGAATGATTATATTTTGTGGATGAAGTAATGAGGAGATGAGAAACGTCACTCCACTACCAAAAATAATTATAACCAGACATAAGATGACGTTAAAAGATAAAAAGTAATAGACAACTGAACGATGCTGTCTGACTTCCGCCCCCCAGTGGCACAGCGGTATATCTGTGGACTTACAACGCTAGAAACCGGGTTTCGATACCCGTGGTGGGCAGAGTACAGACAGCCCTTTGTGTAGCTTTGTGCTTAACTTCAAACAAACAAACGTCTGACTTCCACCAGTGTCGTATGATGTATTTTAGGTCTGTCAAGGTAGCGAACACATCTTGGTAGTTTAGGTTGCTATAAAATCAACATGTATACGTGGATATGTTTCCACGTTTAGGTTGCTATAAAATCAACATGTATACGTGGATATGTTTCCACGCTTACGAGGCTAGATTTCAACACTTTTTCTCGTGAATATGAGACTTATTAAAACACTTCTTTATGGAGAAAGATCTAATTTTTATGCGAGAAGAAGTACTTAGTTTTATTGAGTTATTTATTAAATTTCAGTTTATTTCAGTATAGCGTTAAAGAAACTGGTAAAATAAATTAAGTAAATCATTCTAGTGCTCCCAATAAATCTGTTAAGTAACAGCTTTTAATACTGTTTGTAGCTATTTTATTTAGTCTAACAAAATAACAGTTTTGACAGTGTGGACAAGAAACTGGACTTTTAATATTGTTAACAGCTGGTTCATTTATTCTATTACTATAGGAATTTCTTATAGTGAGCAAAGAAACTACTTTTAATATTGTTAACAGCTGGTTCATTTATTCTATTACTATAGCAATTTCTTATAGTGAGCAAAGAAACTACTTTTAATATTGTTAACAGCTGGTTCATTTATTCTATTACTATAGGAATTTCTTATAGTGAGCAAAGAAACTACTTTTAATATTGTTAACAGCTGGTTCATTTATTCTATTACTATAGGAATTTCTTATATTGAGCAAAGAAACTACTTCTAATATTGTTAACAGCTGGTTCATTTATTCTATT